AGTTGCCACGTTCTGCTTGACGCTGAACACTTCGTAGCCATTGCACCTCCGAGTTTTGGCCCATGTAGCCGGTCTCTCTCGACTCGTGGCTGCGCATCAAATCCTCATCAAGGAAGTCGAGATCTTCGTTGGAGCCGACGGATGCAGTCACGAGGGCCTCTCCGTGATGGCCATCCCCTGGCTCTTTTCTCTGCGCCGATTGCTCGCGTGGCCTTTTTCCCAGAGTCCTGACGGATTGTAAGGAATCCAGGGAAACAAGATCATCCTCAACCTGGAGAAGTAAGGTCAGCAGTAGCCTTGTCACACTCTCAGGCAACGAGATAACTGACGGAATACATACATCATGTAATGTCTGCTTGATGGCCTTTTTGTCTGCTTCATCGACCCGGTCTTCTAGTTCTTTTAGGAGATTAACGAGGTTCTTGTTCAACCTCATGGCCCTGTAAAGTCAGCATGTAAGTCGAATGTTGGATGGTTAATCTAAACATACTCTCCAAGACGATCCCGACGTGCTGGATCGTACACACAAACTAAGTTGTTGCGTTCACAGTTGGCGCAACGCGGATGATCACCCGAACACCTGACTTCTGGAGCGGGATTATCAGCAGGAACGATTAAATACGGAGGGATGCGGCTGTTTACTTCGTCTGCGGCACGTTTTGCATGCCCTTGCACTAGAGAAACGAGTTAGTTCACAACGTGTACTAATGTAGGCTAGAGTCACTGACACTCTTTCCTCTTTCTCGTATCTTTCTGCATTCTCGTTGCCCTGCTGCGGCGGCGCTGGCGCCTTTTGGATCGCGATCTTCCTACCCTGTCCATCACTGGACTGCCCGAGCGGGACTCGTTGCATAGCACAGGCCGACGGTGATTGGAAATCAGTACAGGATCGCACTGCCAGTGCAGATGCAGCTCGCAGGGGAGCGACTTCAGTCACGTGTTGGGTTCCGGCCAAGGTCTCCGTGGGCCTGGTTGTTCTGGGAGCGATGAGGGGAAACGGATCTGCCAGGACGGCCTGAGGCGCGAAGGGTGGTAATCCACGGTAAAGGAACGGTTACGGGACTGTGTGGCTTGATGTCTCAAGACAAGACAATAGGCAGGCACGCATATGCGAATTGTAACGAATCGTTGTTTGGTGGTTGTGGTAGTGGTGGTGCTGGGGAGAAACGCACCCTTCAGAGGATTGATAGGCGGCTGTTCACCCACCAATCATAGTCCTCTACATTAGTTCACTGTCCGAAGCAGCGTTGTGCTGTGGCTTCAAGTTGAGTGGATATAGTCGGATGCGTTTAGCAGTGGCCCATTATACAGGCCTGCGGCAAATCATGAACAGGTTTCGCCTCGTCGGGATCGGGATCGAAGGCAGGGCGGCGACTCCCCGCGGAAGTTGCCTGCCAGATCGCATGGCATCCACAGCTGTCAATTCTCTGCAGCGCGGAAAGAAAATGAAGCAAGAAAAACTACAGCATGTGCAGGGCTAGCGAAGAATGGCGAACGCGTTTGGGTTGTCGTGCTATTTGAATATGCCTAGGTAGCCAACACGCCGTTGAGCCGTACGCGCGATGCAGGTCGCGTACGTCATTCCTAGCAAGGAACTGGCTCCTACCTCGCTTCTTTGCTGTTGAGAGTTCAGATAAACCACCTGTACACATTGAGGGATCAATGTAAATAACGGATACTCACATATCTTTTGTTGATGATGTGTCTCCAGCGACGACACCCCATATCTTTTGGGTGGCTCCCAGGCATCAGTTTTCGTAACACGAGCCGATTTATCTTCTGCGTGAATGCAAAGGGACAGAAGTGTACGGTTGTGTTTCCGCGAACATGCTAATCCCGCCAGCACATACCTAGGTAGCCGTAAAGAGCAGCACGTGTTTCACCCGAGGCAACTCCGTCTTCGCGAGCTTGGGACACCCATCTAATCCGCACACGCTGCAGCATTTTTCTCGCAACTTTACTCTGAAAACGAATGTCTGACATAATTTGATTGCGCGCGCTGACAAGGGACATCTACTTCAGCTCAAGGGTTCCGGGGAACTTGTAGATGCGGGTTGCGCTATCCCGAATCTGGAAGCTTCTGCTAGCTTGCTGTTTTCCGTTAGCATGTGATGGAACTTCCCGATATCGCTTCACCCCGTGGAAACTTCAGGCAGCACCGTCAGTACATGCATTATCTCCCTCTTTGCTCTTGAAACTTCTCCCAGCACTCTAAATGCCTGCAAGAACCAACTCGTGTGTAACCTGTCGCAAGAAACGCATCAAATGCGATGCGACAGTCCCCAAATGTCTTATGTGCATTCGCACCGGTCACGACTGCCCCGGACTACCAGATGGTCCCGTCTTCGTAGACATGACGAACATTGCTAAACACGGAATGAGAAAGCGCAAGTCAAAACTAACAAGCAAGAGCGCGGAATCGTCCACGCTGAGCTGCGCGCGTTCTGACCAAGTGTTGTCGTATCAGATTTCGCAAAGAGCAGTGGTGACCGAGGCATTTTATGCTCACTTTATGGCTCACTTCACGTCCGAGGGCGAAAGCAAAGACATTCGGAATCAACGTACTTGGCTGCATAGCTTGCCTGTTCTGACAACAGATGGCACAAATGAGGCACTGACAACGGCTGCACAGGCTACGGCATCTGCCTACTGCGCTGCCGAAAGCGGAAACATGGCACTTACACAGTACTCATGGAAGATGTACGGAGAAGCCCTACGGGCGCACAGTCGATTCGTCTCCCGTCTACATACCAAGCAAGAAGTCACGGTACATATGGTGTCTACGAGCGTTCTGTTCAGTTTATTTGAAGCTATGCAATCTACCAACGCCGCAGCCTATTGTTCTCACGTTTTCGGAGCTGTTCGGATGCTTGAATTGACTACACCAAAACAATGCTCACAAGGGGCGTTGTGTCAGATCTTCTGTAAGTTTCCTCATGCGATAAAGCCTAGCTGTATTTGCTGTGGTCGTCATTGTATTGTTCGTGGAAGAGAGGATGATGTACCCTTTCAGACTGTATCCCACACCCTGTCTGAAACTCAAGAGGGCAGTCTCTTTCGTACGGGAGAAACACGTAACGCGCGCTAACACTGTACTTCTTTTGCAGATCATCTCCGGACTCAATTGACATTCATCAATCTGACCGGAAATAGCAAGAGGATACCTTTCCGAATGCAAGGCATTTTGTACGGGCCATTGAGATACGTTGAGTTACCTCGGTTTCAGACGCTTATGGGCTATGTATCCGACCTGGTGGACGTCTATGTCGCGCGGAAGACCGGCGCATCGCGACCAGAATTTGGCCTCGATGCTTACACCGTGCTTGAGAGCAATATTGAGGTGCTTTGGCTTGAGTATATGAACGATGCAGTGGATACGGATAAGTTACTGCTCTGGGAGGACACTTCGACCGAAACTCGGCACTTTCGCGACGCCTTCACTGCTCTCGTCGTGGCATACTTCAGCGTTGCTCGCATCCTTCTCAGCCTCATTACGCCACGACTTCCAGATGGCTTTCCGACCCTATCCGATGATTACACATCTGTATTGCTGGCCTCGCAGTACTTGCAGACTCATACAGTTGGGTGCGCATACATGCGCATGGCCACGCCTCTGCTGCTAGTTGCACTGCATTCCCCTGAACCTAGCCAGCGCAATCAAGCTACCGCTTACTTCGAAGGCTGGACGCAGAGGTCCATGTCGGGCGTTAGCACACTTGCACTAGAGACGATACGTCGAAACCACGTCTACGAGCGTGACCGGACGCGCGAACAGTGGCAAAATTCGGCGTTAATCAATACCTAGATGCAGCTATTCAGCCACAAGTACCAGTGATCACGATGCGAGAGATGTGTTGTCGTCGGACAAAAGCACCAAGCCGCTACCCGAACTGCCGGAATAAACCCGTCAGCGCTAAATACGGCTAGCTCGTGGATACCCCTCTCGCGATCCCCTTAGTAAACCCCGATTCTCGACACGAATTCCTCTTTTCGAAGCGCATAGGCCAAGCCCCTCAGCTGTGTACATGCAACGATGTACAGCGAAGACCCCGATCTCGAGACGAACTCTTCCAGCACGAAACCCACACTTTGCTCGAACTTGCCTATTTGCGACACCGATCAATGCCAGTATATGGCATGATTTGCAATATGCGAGGCAGGAGGCAGGGTCTAGAAGAGACGATACGGCTTTGATAATCAATAGATCGGGTACCGTCGCCGTGTGTAGAGACACAACATCGGAAGGAAGAGCGAGCACGTCGCTGTTTGGCTGTAATCTGTTCGAGCGTACGGCAGTTGGCTCACCTTCGCCTCGGATTATGGTCAGGAAGAGAACAAAACCGGGGGGAAATTGATTTGAGCAGACTTCCAGTCGGATTTGCTTTTCTTGACTCAAACTCCAGTGCCAAGGCTGCGCGCTGGTTGTCAGGCGAACTTCACAGGCTACGATAGAGGCTTGTAGACAGCAGCTTACATCCATAATGATGTTTTGTTTCCATTGTGCATCCAGTGGGCAGGTGCCGTACGCCCCATTTTGACAAGTCGATCACGTTGCTGCTACCAGAGAAGCTGCCCCAGCCCTCGTATCAATCGTTGAAATGAGTATATGAGAGCAAGTGGGTATCATCAAGGAGTCGTTCAAATCTACTATAGCTCTCTACCAATACCCAAAAGGTTGAGAATCAAGCTTTCTTCTTGCTGCTTTGTCCAAGGTCAAGATGTAGTAAAAGCGCCTTTTCAACCAGACTGGCAAACTCGCGGTACATTACACTGCACAAAACACAGATTGGAGTAGAGTTACGGACTTCAGGAAATAAAGACAGAAGAATCATAGCTGACTAGTCCTACGAACACGTTCCCAGTCCAGTCGCCATAATCGCACACATGAAAATCGTGAATTGACACAAAACAAGCGCACCCTCCTCTTGCGTAAAAGACTCATACAGTTCCATAGTACACTTCCTTCATCGACTTGCATAATGCTTGTGCTGATACCCATATTAAGCCTTCTGCATACCTTCGACAAACTCAAGCGCCGCTTCTCTATCAACAACATCGATGCTACTCGTCTTGTTCGTGTAGGTAACACCATAGCATCGATCCGCCACGTGTACCATCTCAGGCCTGAAAGTCGTGCAGATAAACTGACCACCTCCATCCGCGTTCTTTCCACCATGACCACTCAACCGCTCCAGCATCTGCGCAACAGCAGTTCGATACTGCGCGTCGAGATTGGCATCGATTTCGTCAAAGAGGTAGAACGGCGCGGGATCGCACTTTTGGATAGCAAAGATCAGGGCGAGCGCGCAGAGCGACTTCTGACCTCCAGAGAGCTGACCGATCTTTTGCTGCTCGTCGTGCTTGCTGTTGAAGGATACAGCGATGCTCACACCTGTGTACTCTTCGACCTTACTCTTCTTCCCTTGGGTCTCTTGTTCTTCCATATCGTCGTCATCGGAGATGTCCCCACGTGCGTCGCGGTCGGATTTGCGGTTGATGATGAGGCGACCGCGGCCGATGGGAACGAGTTGCTGGAAAACTTCGCCGAAAGCTGCGGCGACTTGCTTGAAGGTACGCGCGATAGCCTCATCTTTGCGCTGGTCTAGCACATCGATGAGATTCTCGATGGATTTGCGTGATGTGTCCAGTTCGGCGCGGCGTTCGGTGAGGGTACGTCGCTGACGCGTAAAGTTCTCGTAATGTTCGAATGCTTTCTTGTTGACGTGGGCGAAGCTCTTGAGGGCTTGGTTGGCCTTGGTGAGTTCTTTGGTAACCTTGTGATAATGTCAGCTGTGTGCAGGTTTGAAGAGGCGAACGTGGAGCTTACCTTTGTGGTGTCCCATCGAGTGTATTTCCGATTGACATCTTCAGGAAGGGTACCCAGATCACGGATATCCCGCTTGACTTCCGCTAGTCGGTCTGTGTAACGACTACGATCGGAGTCCTTCTTGGACATGGCCTGCTCTTGCCTAGCCATAGCCTTTGCCAATTGCCTATTGCTAGCTTCCTTTTCGTTTCTTGAGTTCTCCAGCTCGCTCAACTGGGCCCGGATGTCTTCAATCTGGGCGTCGGTTTCTTGGATCTGTTGGTCGAGGTCCGCGATGGTTTGATTGACAGCATCTAGAGCTCGTTCACATTCTCGTAAACGCGTCGACTGGCCCGTAGACCCGCCTGCGCCGCCCTGTTGTGACAGGATGTTATCCAGCTCTGGCTGCAGATTTTCTGTGAGATCGAGCTCAGCCTCGTCCTTTTGGGATTCTAGCATGGCGCGCTCTTCCTTGGCTCGTGCGAATTGTCGCTTCAAGTCTTGTACAGTGCTTCGAAGTGTGATCAACATTTGCTCCTCGTCATTGGACAGTGCTTTCTCAAACTTGGAAGCAATCTCAGCCTCCCAGTCACTCTGTTGCGCGCCGAGCTGATTGATTGTTGACTGAAGTGCTGAAGCGGTCATCCTCTTTCTCGCAAGGCTGTCCTGTGTGTCTCGAAGGGTCCTTTGCTTCATTCGTACTTCTTCCCGCATAGGCGCATAGCTGTTTTCGCCCTTGTCCTTCTCGTATTCCCGCCGTCGAACCTCACTGAGTGCTGCAGTGAGCTGTTGACGCTTTTGCTCAAGTTCGGTGGCAATATCTCGCTTCCGCTGCTGCAGCTCATCGTATTGTGTGCGGATCTCGGCCAATGTTTGGTAAGCCCGAATCTTTGACTTGGACGGGTCGTGGTAACCTCCTCGGTATTGACCCTTGCGCGAAGCGTTATCTCCGTCAAGAGTGTACGCACGAACGTTGTATTGCTTTGCGTTCTTCTTGCACGCAGTCAAGTCAGGGCAGACAACGATCTTGCCGAACACGTGTCTGAAAGCATCCTCGAATCTTTCGTCGTACCTCAACTTTGGCAAAAGTGGCTGCATGTCCCCGGTCGCAGGAAGGTTCATGTCATGAGCCCGGATGCGATTGAGGGGAATGAAAGTAATACGCCCGCCCTTGTCTTTGATGAGCCGATCAATCAGCTTACTGGAGACTTCATCGTTATCCACGACAACGTTAAAGAGCGCACCCTCAGCTGCTGCTTCGGTCACGGCTCTGTAGTCGTTGTTGACATCGAGTAGGTCTGCAATGGTACCATGCACCCCCTCTAGCCCCCCCTCTTTTTGGTATCTACGAAGAGACTCCAGACCACGACTAGTGCCATGATCAAGCAGTCGAGAGAACGTGCTTTCTGCTTTCCGAAGCTCGGCTTGCGCGTTTGTTAGTTGAGTATTGACCCTGTTGTCTTCTCGGTAGAGGTTCGTCTGCTCGTCGTGTACAGCTTTGTAGGCATCCTTTGCTTGCTCGACTTTGGCTGAAAGGTTGACACTAGCGTCTCCTTCGCTTTCAATGGTTGATCGTAGTTCAGCGATCTCGGTTTCAAGACGCTCAACGTCGCTCTCCAGTTGAGTAATCTCTTCATTAGTCTGCATGAGAACAGCCTTGCGGCGGCTAAGGTCAGCATTGCACTCTTCGATTTGAGCGCGCAATGCATCGTCTCGTTGTCGTTTGGTTGTAAAGAAAGCTGTCCGACCCTGCTTTTCCTCGAGACGCTTCTGTTGGCCTTCAGCTTCTAGCAATTGTGATCTGACGGCTTCTTCCTCTTCTTTCTTTGCGTTGTATTGGGGTATCAGCTTCTTGAGTTCGGTCTCTCGTGCGCGTATCTGTTGTTGGAGTGACTTCGTTTGTGTATCCCGCGACTTCTTCGTTCGTTGGGCTGCCGACTGGTTATCCTGCAACGATTTGAGCTCGAGCTCGATCTTGGCCTTCTCCAGTGTCGCTGACTTGCGTTCTTGTTCAGACTGCACGCGATCTTCCCGCAGAATGTCTAAGTCGCCTCTTCGCCTGTTGATATCCGTGTCGATCTGCGCGATGTCGGCTTCGGTCTGTACGAATGCTGCCTCGTCGGCCTCCTTCATCTCACGACCCTGGTTCTCCATATGGTCGATCTTCTCAATCAAGGCTTCTAGGTCAGCCTCCTCCCGGGACTTCAAAATGTACATCAACGACCGGCGCTCCTTGTCATTCCGGCTCCACGCTTCCAATTCCTCCTTCTCGCCCTCGAGTTCGTTTAGACGCCCGTTGATGGAGTCGATTACACTATCGACAGCTCCGCATTTGTTTTCGGTCTCGGACAGAAGCTTGAGACTGTTGGCGCGTCGCTCTTCGTAGACGTTGGAGCCGGAGATCTCTTTCAGCAGCTTCAAGCGCTCAGAGTCTTTCATGTTGGTGAGCGCCGTGACACGACCTTGCGGGACGATGTAGTAGGGGTTCGATCGCGAGAAGCCAGCGGATTCGAGGATCTGCATGACTTCGGATTTGGTAGCGTTCTTGCGGTTGACTGAATACTCGTCCTTCTTTGCGCCGATGGTACGGCGGAGAAAGAACTCGGGTTTGCCAGTCTGGAAGCGGTCTTCGGTGTTGTCGAAGCATACCTCGACATATGCTGACATGACTGCTGAGCCGGATCCTTCGTGCAGCAGCGCCTGACGCTCTTCACGACCCAAGTTGTGGTAATCGTCGCCTAGCACAAAGCGCACGGCGGCGAAGAAGTTACTCTTTCCCGATCCATTACGGCCAACGACGACATTGCAATTGGGCGAGAAGGGCTCGATTTGCATCTGCTCCTTGTAGCTCTTGAAACCCTGAATCGTGATCTGCTTGATGTACCCCATGGCGGCGGTTGAGCGCAATCGCGATGCGCGAGTGGTCGGACTGAGTGATGTGTGCGGTCGCGCGTTGGACGTGTATGCGATCGTAATGGCGCTTTTCAGGACATAGCGGGGTCGTGGTTGTGGTCGTGAGCGAGCGTGTTTTCCTACTGTTGCGCCGACGACGCGATGCGCGTCGCGCTTTCCCGCCAAGATACGCTAACCCAATTGCATCAACGAGCAGCCACGTGACGCAATGGTGGAAATCTGCCGTCGACAAATGCTGCGTATTAGCTACCTACTCTATCATGAATTCGCTCCCCTGAACGTGGATGCGAAAGGAGGACAGGGTAGGATGAATCAAGACATCCTCCCGACGCTGAATGCACAGCGTGGAACGTGTTGGACACTCCCGATGTCTATTCGAGCAGCTTCATTGCCTTTTTTCGATTGGCACCACAGTGCCTCAGGTGTCACCTCTCGCTGAGCATCGGATTGATGGTTTCATTTTCCAAAAGACATGCACCTTTCGAATAGACTGCACATAGCCAACGACGCGGGTAAATGCGGTGGTTACATCGTGAACATGGAATCCTTGGCTCGCAATCTCGTTCAAAAGAGTCGCTGTCGCTAGTAATAGTGCGAGCTTAACAGTGATATACATGGCATATGAAGTTCGAAGTTCTCGAGACCGCCACGTGATGATGAACACTAACGAAAGCTGTTTGTAGGGTGTAACACGTTATCAAAATACCATTAGGTGTGTCAAGCACGTCGGACCAAGCGCCCACGTTGTGCAAAGGTATCGTGGGGAGTCACAAGGTGACAGAGGCATGAGAGGTCCCAGCAAATAGCGCACATTGCAGCTTGTGACGGTGATGGCCACCTTGGCTTTTTGTTGGGCATTGCGTGAGTAACGATTTGAGTAATCGTCTAATTCGACTATCGGTTTGGTACAGAAGCCTCGATTTTCGAGTTTACAGCGATGCTGAGGTGTGTCATGTAGAGCTACCCACCGCAACGAATGGGATTACGCATTTTGGCTATCATCGTGGAGGGCCTGAATTGATCAAGATGTCCCTCCTATAGGTTGCGGTGCTGTTCAGCGAAGAGATCTAGGCAAAGACGTGAGCTCACTGTGAGCAAGCGGCGTCGAGATGCATGCCAACGAGTGAAAATGAGAGGATAGTGAAGGAAGCGGAATTTGATTGTGATTGGCACATGGAGCTAAGGCGCGATGATGCAAGGTGTGCAAGGTTGGGGCGGGGTCTGATCGGATTTCAAAGCAAAAAGATGGGATTTCGCAATTTTCCCATGTTGGGCAGCCAACTTTTCGATGCGCCACTCTGCAACCCTGTCTGTAGGACCGGGCGGCGAAACTCGTCTGGGCCAACAGGCTTACACTTTGTGATCGACAGAATACATGGGTTGTGGAGCATCGTGGCCTGCCGTTATCGTGCGCTACGGTCTGGGCTGGTTCCAGCTGTCTACCGCTGTGCCCTAGTACACACTAGCACCGTTGCGGGAGCATTTGCGTTGGAGGCGACAATGGTGACGACTGCACCTTGGAACAGATGAGCAACGGCAGATGTACAAGCAGTACTCGTACTCGGAGACAGCTATCGTCGAATGTAGATGTGATGGAGCAGGATGCAGAGCCGTCGGTGATTGGGTGGGATCATGGTTCCAGGTGATTGCCATGAACGGTCCCATGTGGAGCTATAGCGTGACGGTTGGCCCAGCTCTCAGCCCGGACGTGTTCCGCGGAGCGAGCCGTTACAACGTCATAGGCCTCGCTCCACTCTCGCATGGCGGAGACCGCTCGGAGTAGCGCAAACGAGGTTCGCAGCAGCTGGCAGCGTAATCCAAGGCGGCGAAAGCTGTCTACCATTGTGACGAGCTAGGTACCTGGTCAGTAGCTTGGGCTGAGAAAACTGGGATGGCTAGGCCAGTGGACTGTCCCGTTTTGGTCATGGCGGAACTGCAAAAGCGCATGCTGTAGAGACGCAAATTCGGACGGGCGCGGCAGGCCATCGCGATCGAGCATAACAGGCGCTAGAGGCCGAGATTCTCGAGCTGGGCGCGGGCTAGGTAGCGATTGCCTCTTCATCGTCGATCGGGAAGGCGCACTACGTAACGCACAGCAGAACCCACCAATCGCACGGTCCCCACGCCTGCCCCTGCTCGTTTGAATCGCTTTCCTCAATTCCGCATGCTGCCAAAGCCCCCATTGTTTGAAATCCCATGCCAGGCGATCTTCTTCCCTCACAACTGCCCTGGCCCGCTGCTTCTTGCCTTCATCACATAAACTCTGCCGGACCCTCCTGCCCATATAAGGAACCGCCCGCCTCAGGCCTGCGCACCATTCCTTCCGTGCCCCCACCACACCAACAACAAACAACGTCGTCCACCATGACAGCAATCCAACAGCAACCACAGTTTGAGTGGGCTGGCGACGCTTTCACAGCCATGAACAGCCTCAATGGCCCCTCCCAGCAGGACAAGTGGGCAAACGCCTTCAGCAATCCCACCTCAATGCCTCCCCAGCAAGCCTTCTCCATTCCACCCTCGCTGCTTACACATGCCACCATGGAGCGCTACGGCCAAGTCACCCCGCCTGAGGAGCCCTCACCAGCACACGCCCCTCGGGACGCTCGGAACGAGCGCGAGACGTCCATTCCTGTCGAGCAACTCCGCAACGAGACTGTCTTTTGGCCCAAGCAGGAAGCCTCTCCTCAGATGCCGCCTGCAAAACGACGACGCACCAGCCGCCAGGACTCGGCCAATCAAGACGCGGTTGCCGCTTCTCTGCCTAGCGTCCCCGTTGTGCAACAACAGGATAACGCCGACGGCAACCCTCAGCCGCCGAAGCGCAAGCGGGGCAGGCCCAAGTCGCAGCCACAGATGGTCGAGGCCTACACTGCAGACGGTTACCCTTTCCAAGTATCGTCCGCTCGCCAGACGCACCTCGAGAAGAACCGTGTAGCTGCCCACAAGTGCAGGCAGCGCAAGAAGGAGTACATCGGCAGCCTCGAGGGACGCGCTCGCGAATTCTCTGCAAAGAACAAGATGCTTAAGGAGAATGTTGCGCTTTTACGCGAAGAAGTCCTCGACCTGAAGAACGAAGTTTTACGCCACGCTGGCTGCGGCTTCTGGGCTGTCGACGAGTATCTAGCGCGGTGCGCCGGCGGCCTTCTCGGCATGGACGCCCCTGCACCTGGTATGCCTGGCCACCACGCAACACCACGACATAGCCACAGCAACCAGAGCCCCCATATGCAGAACTCCAATATGCAGAGCCCTGGATTCTCCAACCAACACGCACGACAGCAGAGCATGGTTTCCATGAGCTCCGTCGATGTCGACGATTTCCATGGGCTCGAGCTCCTCAAGGACTTTACCGACGAAGACATGGACGACTTGGAGGCTTAGGAAGCCAACTTGCACATTCTCGCTACCGAGGCTTTCCAGTATTGATGCATTTGACATCGCTCTGCCTTGATCTTTGATATGCAATGTGGGCTGCTGGCTTGTCACTGTTCCTCACTTCTTCCAACGATTTCACGATACCCCTGGGCTTTGCCTTTCTCTGAGCAACCAAAAGCTTCTTTTCTTTTTCTACATTGCTACAATGACCAGCTTGCCTGATATTGCCTGCTTCAGTGGCCACGATCCCGACGACATGGCGTTTGAGCGGTTGATGGGATTGGTGTCCCATCGCGTACGAGTGTACTGCATAGATTCTACAAAGTATAAAAATGGAAAGGCGATTACTGCATATCTTCCTCAGGTAGTCAGGTAGTCATTTCGATATGAATGAGTATATCCAGCAACACAATGACCTGTCCCCAGTGATCCACCGTACTCTCATTCCGTTCAGCTCAATCGATCCAGGTTCCGCTAACGCGGACCCTGCTACTCCACGGACTGTCGTTGGGATCGCGTCTCGCTTACCAACTTTTGTCTAGCAATCTCCACATCCTGTCACACGTCAAGTCAGCCCCAGACGGGTATCACACAGCATGCGATACTCTCATTGGCTCACGGAAAGATTGCTTGGATTGAAGCTATCTTGGTCCCGAGGTATAGGACAACTGTTTAACACCCGCGAAATTCAACAGTTCGCATGCCAACATAGCGTCTCTGCCGGCCATCACGATTGATACGAATAGCCTACCAAATGACAATTCGGTCCTTCTCAACGGCGCCGTCTTCCCCGCCGTAGGACTATCCAGAAACAGACATACAAGCAGCTAGCATAGCAACGATGCGCTTCCAGCTGCCCATTGCAGGTACGCGGTGGGCCCACTCGCTACTCTGGCCCCATCAGTGACGTTCGAAGCCGAGCACGCCAGATCTTCAGCTCGCGTAGAGTTTTGATGGTTTACCACACCTGGGATGCTATGATGTGCTGAGCCATGAGCCGTGTGCCATACTCGCCAGGGAATAAGACCCACTGCTGCAGATGTCGTTCGGAGCAGAGCACCTGAGTGGGATAGGACAGGTGTGTGCAGAGATAGGCAAGTCTGCATGCCTTCGTTCGCGTATCCGCAGTAGCATTCCCGGAAATTGCCTACGTAATTTTACATAGCAGGAATGATTATGCATATTATGAGCGGCATGAAGAAGCTCCAACATTCTTGCTTCGCGAGCTTCACAAGTTTTCTGTACCTTCATTAGCTACGGACGAGTTTGCCTATCGCGTAGCATACGACACCCTGTTCATGCGAGGTGAAGATCCGGGTTCCTCCATTCTCTCTCCCCCCGGTTAGCGTACTCAGAATTCCGCATCTTTCACCCTTGACACCGTCGTCTCCAGCTGACGACGGGGTCCCGTTATTGCGTCATATCAGCCGATTTTACCACGCACCCCGTGGAAGGGAAAAATCGAACACTTACTTAAGGCTTACAACCTTGCAACATTACAATAATAGCCTTTTAAAACATTATAAAAATATAGAGAGAACTTACTCTATATAAAATTCTAAGGCGGGGCTTCTTAATAAAATTTAAGGCTTCTTGTT